GGGCGCCAGGCGAGGGCGATACTGAAGGCCCACAGGCAGCAGTTCTACGTCCACGAGCACTACAGGCGCTCCATGTTGCGCGCTTCCACGGGGCTGGACACGGCAACCGGAGCAGGGACCGATCAGGGGCCCAACCACGAGGAAACGACCTGGCACAAGGCGGGGACCGCTGGCGGCGCATTTGCAACAGTGGCCGCGGTCGGGGACGCTCATGGGAGCAGCGTTGGAGACGTACCTGGCAGGCGCCTGTAGCATATTCAATGTAGTCTATGCGCAATTTACCAGAACTTTTCTTGCTCTGCTTAAAAAAACAGAGTGCAAAGCACTTGCACCGTGGCCGAGATATTCTGGAAGTCCACACAGCGCCGTGCAATCCTCTTGACCCTTCACCCACCCACCCACCCATCCACACCCACACCCAGAGAAGGAAAAATGGAATGAGCAACAGCCACGTGATCAGCACGAGTTTCATCAAAACAGCTTACATGCACGCCGCCCACTAATCCTTAGGCAGCCATGCACCACAGCATTTCTAACAGTTTGCGCACCAAAACGATGAGGGCAGTGACAAAGGCAGTCCTTCAGTTGGCCAGCTGACGCCAACAGGGTGGCAACTGCGGTCTGGGCACAATGCCAGACCGTGTCCAAAACACACGTCCACTTGCCGCCATGAGCAGCAGCCTTGGCGCAGGCTTCGCTGGCACCCATTCGCCGTCCAGCACCACATCACTCCACAATCGTCTGATCCGTCCACAGAGGTCGCACCCATGGCACATAACACTCGCCCATCTTGTGTGTTCAAGGTAGTAGATCACCTACAGGGCCCCAAATTGAACCCCACGTCGTTCGTTAGTACTTAGCAAAAAGTAACAAGCCTACAGCTTCCATGGAGCCTTGAGGCCCGGCCAACCCACAGGCCGAGCAAGGACGCTCCAGCAATAGAAAGAATGGAAATGTAAAACAAAGTGGCCTGTGAATGGGTGTGCCGACCACCTTCCCACTCCTGCGAATGGATGAAGCATTGCCGACACACACACAAACACGTCTGAAAGCTGCAAGGGTGGGGGATGCATCAAGGCACCCCAGCTTTGCCGTCATGCCCCTGCCCCAGCCCAAGCATGCCATCCCCACGGCACAAAGAACAGAAAGAAACAAAGGAGGAACAACGGTCGGCCAGTATGCAGAATACACACAATCTCCCAGGCCAATAGTGGGATATCACCACAGCACCAATCTTATAACCTCATGAATACACAAGCATCCACTCTCTCTCCCCAGCAGAAGGCCGTTGGTCATGAGTGTCACTAACTCGAAAACGCCAGTTGAGCTGTGGCTGCAGTGCCCATTTAAGTACAGGCTCATGGGCCCCACCACCAACATCCCTTGACGGCGTCTGTCTGGTATGCCTTGGGAGAAGGCCATCCAGATCCATACGGGCACTCACAGGGCCAGTCATGGCTATTCCCCACTCCAACAACATCCCCCAATTAGCAGGCTGAAAACCTATTTCTCACATCACAACAGCAGCCACCAACAAAATTGCTGAACTGAAAATCCGCAAAATTCGTGCACATCGACACATCAGTTGTTCTTCAATCCTAAAGATAGTATATAACCTCTCGATCAATATTCACTTCCGATCATCAGCTTGGTGACCCTCCAGTTCCCACATTTCTATTGCATGCCTGCTTACCCCGGTATGTTTTGGAAAACTGTCAGCGCCTGGGCCATGGCTGGCCCCTTTCAGCAAAAACGCTGTACAAAACCTGGGACAAATCAGACACACGATCTCCTTGGCCATGCACGGCCCAAATGCAGCATGATCTGCGCAGCGCCACAGTGGACAACCTTCAGCGACCAAAAGAACGACACGCTGCCAGCACAATGGCGCAACGAGTTCGTTGCACGGGGCAACGATGTGGGCATGTTGTGATTGCCAACAACTATCAATCTCTGCATGATTTGCATATTCAGGACAATCTCCAGACATGCGCGCCCTCAGGTACAGATTCCTGCGAGCCTGCCTATCATGCTGCCATTTGCAACTTGAACAGGGAAGTCCTCCACGCCCATTCTGGCCATTGGCATGCCTTGTTTCATGGGAACAGCTACCGTCCAAACTTGCTCTGGCATTAGGGCATCCCTTCCATTCTCGTCTCGTCGATTGTGGACATATGCTCCCAACCCTGTGGCACTGCTCCCGTCTGCATGGCACAATAGTCAACAATGAGAAATCATCGAGACACGCCCAGCACTGTACCCAAAGACTGCAGCTAACCTTCCATATTTCAGCCAATATGAGGCACAGATTTCAGGCAAGCCGCAAATTGCAGGTGCTCGTGCTGTATTGAGGAAGTGGAGGACACCCACTGGAATCCTGACAAAGCTCAAACCTGCATGCCAGCGACTTTAGCCAGCAATAGCTGAAGAATCCTGCACTATTCCTAAGTTGAGGTGAATGGACAATGTTACATCGAGAAAATCAAGAAATTGACAAGCATCTGACACCCAGCAACCCAGCACACAGAATTTGCAAGATGTGGTCAACATGTGGGCCATCAAGGTGCACAAGCTGCGGGGCAAACCACTCAGCACCAACATTCATGCAGTCTGACATGGTATAGTTCCAGCCATCCAGTGCACGAATGCACAAGCAGTACACAAGCGCGCGCGCACACACACACACACACAGAGCACAGCACAGCCTGTCTTTGCACCTGCTGCATGAGATGCAAGTGGCTGAGGGGAGTCTGGCCGTTCACACCGCTGGCATGGGTCCACTGTGGCACAAGCCCGTGGCCTGCCAGTGCCTGTGCAGCTCCTGGGGAAAGAGGCGACCCATTGGGACCCAGGCCCGCTGGCAGCGGTGACATCGCAGGCATCGTTGGGGCCACCACCCCCATCGCCGGGTTCAGGCTGCCGACGTGGCTGCCACCAACAGCATTATTGGCCATGGGCAGTGTGACACCAGGGTGGACATAGGGGTGGCCCTGCTGCAAGTGCACATTCTCCAAAATGCTGGCCAGCTGCTCAGGTGTGTGGCCAGCTAAGACCTGTGGGTGCAGCATCAAGGGGTTCATGCCTGGCTGGCTGGCCATTGCGGGTGAAGGGACATCGCTACCAGACAGCATCTGCCCCAGGTCGATCGAGGCTGGCTGCTTCTGGTGTGGGGCGTCCCCTGCCTGAGCCAGTCCGGTGTGCTCCCCCTGCATCATCCCCTGCAGCCCAACGCCCCGGCCCTGGGGGTCCAGTAGCATTGGTGGCCGGGGCCGGGCACTGTCCAGAGACCTCCTGCCAAAGCCCAACCCCGAAGGGCCCCTGTTCATGGCGTTGTCAAAGGACCGCCTGTTTGGAGCCCCGGGGGGTGGCCTCCCGCTGATGCTGCCATTCGCTGGATTAAGCCCCAAATCCTGCGACCCCTGACCCAGCATGTCCCCCACACCGCCTGGCCGCGCCATGCCATTGCGGGGCGTTCTCAGCGCCTGGGCCAGCAGCGCATTGTACTGCTCGATCAGGGAGCGGGTGAGTGTGCCCGACAGCGCCGCAGAAGTGCTGCCAGCATCCTCGGACATCACTCGGATGTTGTGCAGGTAGGCCGCGATGATGTCCACGTAGCTGCAGCCCGATTCGGAGAGGGCCGCCAGCAGGTCGTTGTAGTCCTCTGGGGAGAAGCCCAGCAGGGTCTGCAGGAGCAGGGCAGGGTTGCCGAGGGCGCTGTCGGACAGGCTAGTGATGAGCTTGGCCAGGAGGATGTCTGTGAGCTGCGTCACATTGCCCTCCTGTCCAGGCGGCAGCGCTGGCGCCGGAGGCACCACAGGTGCGGGCTGGGTGTTTGCTGTCGATGGCCAAACACTGTGTGAGTGAGATTGGCTTCTGACATAAGGGACAAAAATGTCATGCAAATGGGCACAGGCCTGCTGGTCGGGAGTGATACTCCCTTCACTTCTATGGAAGTTGGAGGCAGCTCTGAGCACAAAAACTGTGCGGCAAACCTTCTGCAACGAATTGTTCCTTGAGGGGATAATGCAGGTAGAACATTGTCAAGGGGTGCACTTATGTTGTGGCGCCCTTGCAGGTGCTACAAGGGCCCTGAAATTTGTGCACGGGGCAAAACACAATCGTACTTCTGTTTGAGGCCGCACAGCCACATTTTAACCTTTCCGTTGTCTATTCAATCAACCAGCCACTCACATGCTATTCAATTGATGTTTGCACAGGAAAGGCCAGCATGCATCACTTAGGAAACAGTTGTTACAAAAGTGGAGCCTGACAGCTATTCTGCTCACTATCAGTCAAGACATCAGCTGTGCTTTCAGCCATTTCGCATATAAGCCCAAAAGCAATTTCTCTGAATCACACCCCAACAAGGAGCTGCTATTGTGTACATTAGGCACGGGTGGAATACTTCTGATTCCAGTCACCATGAGTGTGTCAACACTTGATCAAGGGCCTGCAATGCGACAAGACAAGCCTTTCACTGCCGTGCAGGCTTCATTGATTTCTGAGTCCATACCTTTCCGTTGTGGCAGGTTTACTACTGATTGCTTTGAACTTTGGTCAACAGATGGTTGTCAATGAAAGTACAACAGCATGCAGCAGTATACCCAACAGCCAAAGCTTGCCTGCCATGACCAGATGCATCCTGCTGAGTCAGGATAAACAACAGTCTTCAAACAAAACAACTCAATTGTATTTCCGCTGTGCACTTTCGCTGTGAACATGCTGACGCTGATCTAATGCGTGTCCACACTTGTGTGCATTAACACACCTGGAGATGCTGAGACCTGGCTGGCCACTGCCTTCAAGGCAGTGTCGAGAGACTTGCGCACATGGGGTGACGCTTGACAAGGGCCCACTGCTGGGGGCGGTGTTGAAAGCACCTTTGCCTGCTGGTTATCAATCCCCCTGCCACTACCAGCTCCGTCTTTTGCCGCCTCCGTGCCACTTGCCTCGCCTGGAGCTGCTGCCTGTGTCGTGTCCACTCCCTTGGCAGGCATTGTCTCTGGCACAACTCTGCCATCCACAGCTGCTTCTGGTTCCTCCACTGCCCCTCGGGAGGGGCTTGCCTCTGCACTCATCTTTAGTGGACTGCACCCGACTCACTGGCCCTTTTGGACCGATGCCCACCAGGAATGAGGAGGTCACAGCAGCGTGCCAGCTGAGCTACCGATGCACCAGATCCGTTGCCGTCCTGTTGTGCACAGGCCAAAGTCCACAATCGTCCCACTGCTGCAGGTGGCCCCACGGAATCGAACTGTGCGTCTTGCAGCAAGTTGGCATTGCAATATGCACAATTGCAATTCAATTTCAGGCAAACATGTGGCACGAAAAGCGCACATTGTCCGCAAAGAAGGGCGCCTTAGCCGGCCAATGGGAAAAGCCATGCACCCGGTTGGCCCCGCTGCTCCCTGCTCAAAGGCGCATGGGGCTGCTGACCCACGCCCCTCTGCAAGATTTCCCCCCCGCCCTCGCCTTTGACGTCAATTCTTGAATAGCCACGGCCGCAAGGAAAACCAGCACACCCCCGTAGACCATCGGACAGATGAACACTGGAAAGAGCGACGGGCGCGGAGACCGCATGCCAGGCGCCGCAAGGGGAGACCTTGCCGAAAGCGACCGGAAGCAAAGTCGGCAACCGCCAGACAACCAACTGAAGCGCCCACGCGATCACGGCCCCAGGGTTTGCCACTTCGCGGCTTCCGGCGATCAGCGGCTGCAAAGCGCCTGCGCAGAATCGAGTGGCCCGGCCAGCGCCGCTCATCCCGTCAGCGAATCCCCTCGCGCTCTGGTGCGACGGGAGGACGCCGCTCGCGCCGGGCAGCACCACACGCAGAACGCCGGACGGGATGCGGGTCAAGGAACCGGCAAGCGCGCCCCGGTCCAGCGCCGCGAGGCTGGCAGATCCGGGAGCCACCACCAAGCGCCCCAACGCGGTCCCGCCGTCGCGGAAGGGGACTCAGAAACCGACGCGGCGGGATCCCAGGGGCGAAGGAGGCCCAATTCCAGCGACCGGAACGACATTCGGAGGAAGGGGCGCGATTGGGGAAGGGCGGCAGAGCAAGGGAGGCGGGGGTGGGCGAAGCGTCGCGGGAGCGGCGATCCCGCCGAACCAATCCCTCCCGCCCGCAGCGACCCAGCCCACGAGCGAGCCCGCGATCGCCCAAGCCCACTTCTCGCACCCACCCACGCGCCGGCACTGCTCACAGCCGGCCAATTAAGCCCGGCAGTCCTGCACCGAGCAAGAAGCGGGGATCGGCCGGAGTGGGGCGGGGGCTGCACTCAGCGCAGCGACGCGCCAAAATTGGGGCATGGCATGCGCCCACCTTGCAAGGATTGCCCACACCGGCGGCGGCAGCTGGGACAGAGGGTCCGGCGAGTTGGGCGTCAGGAATGCCGCTGGCGGCTCACAGGGTACGCAGGCCGCGCCGGCGCTGACGAACACCTCCCTGGCCCTGACCTTGGGCTGACCGGCCAGAGCGGGGGGTGGGGTAGGGCTTGGAGGTTTGTTGGTTGGGGAGGGGCGGTTTGGACCTAAACTACTGCGGGGCGGGGCGAGGGAGGAGCGCCAGATCGACGCCTATGGGCCACAAACGGGCGGAAACTGCTGCGGAGGCGAAATGTGCCCTGGGGGGGATCTTTGGGCGGGGCCTTGTTGGGAGTAAGGGGGGAAAGGGCCAATTATCGGCGAAAAGGCGCGTTCGTACTGTCGCGCGCAGCCGCACTAGACGTAAAAGGGTCAGTTGCATTGGTTGTCAGACCCAACGCTTGCTGCTATCCAATACATTGGCACCACTCTATGTTCCGCATTTGTCCATTAACTCACACATAATATCCATCAGGCCTCCATCTGTGCATTGACACAGTACGTTACGACAGTACGTGGAATTCTGGGCGGCTTTGCAGGATGACCGATGGCACACTGGCGTTGGTGGATGAGGGGCAACGTCGCCGCAGTTCTCGTGCAGCTGGTTTCAACCATGGCGTCGGCGGCATCGACATTGGCCAGCCATGTCTTGAGGCGTCCCACAGCGTTTGCTTCTCCCCATCTGGCACGCACGCTGGCCAAGCGACTTGTGTCGCACTTTCGTCAACGCTCCATCCACACAAGTGACCGTGACTGTCGCCTTGTTTACCTTGTTGAACGTCAGCGAAGCGAGTAAGCCAAATACTGAAACCTAGAGACTTACACTGCGTGTGATCTGTGAATCCCAATTCACACTTTCAGGGATGGACGAGTGGGAGTAGAACAAGATAGGCCGGGGACTGTAGGGCGCTCCTAACATTGAAAGCATGGACGTTGCGCACCAACCGAGGAAGCCCAGCCAGACACCGATCGCAACGCCGGCCCTCGTTCCCTTCGCAACCTGCCAAGAGTTGGCAGATCCCGTGTCCAGCATTCAAACGCAGCCGGTGGAACAATGGTTGTAGCTGCAAGGGACAACGGGTACCAGGAAGCAGATTTTGTTGCCGATACTGCCGCACTGCAAGCGCCCATCCACATCTCCCTGTGCTTGGTTTTCATGGCGTACACACTGAGTACTTTCGCGTATTTATGCGTAAAAATAATATTTACGCTTTACGCGTAATTGCGTGTAAAAGCACATAAATTTAACCCGGTGCACATAAAGATAGTGCATGCAGACTCAGGAAATTGGGCCAGTGGCAAGTAGATGCGCTGGAGTGGGCACCAAACGACATTTGTTCGACCGCGTCTTTTCCCCTGTCGAGGGCGAGGTGGACGCTGTGTTGCGGGTGCTCGATGAGGGGGACGATTGATCATTGTTTGTGATTTCGTCATGTGAACTTGGTGTCCCCACGAGCCGGAAAACTACTTAAATACACCCACGAAAATAGGGCTGCTTTTACTGCTGTGTTTACATATTTTTCATGGCTCCCCTTGTCCAGATTTGCGTTTTTGACGCATAACAACGTCAATGCAAAAACGCCAACGTAAACATAAAGTCCAGTCATGCACCTCCCTAATTAAGATCTCATTAATTTATCGTCAAATGGAATCCCTCAGTACACAAGTTACCTAAAATGCAACAAGATCTGACCAACAACGCCACAATAAGACTGTCCAGTTTTGAAGATGCACACTTGACCTGGTCGGGTGTGGATTCGGCAAAGGAATCTGCCTGTTCGTATCACTTCACATGTGCGCATCAGGGAAAAAAACGATTTGGGCCGTTGGCTGAAGGCGAGCGGCTTGGCAAGTGCCATGAGACCACTGATCACTCACATTATGAGCATAAATGTTAAGACAATTGCTCTAACATTGCTTTAATCTACTATAATACTGCAATGCAGCATTACAATGTCGAACATTGCGCTCAGTTGAATGTGCTCTGTGTCCTGAGCAACGACAGAATCAATCTGCCTGCGTTCTTGGGTTGGTGAACCTGACGATGGCGACATTGCTAGAGCTGAAGCGTTGGAGGCGACAAACGCGGCCCCCTCGTTCGGCCAGGCACCACAACCCAAATAAGCTTGCGATAACGCTAATTAGCGTATCCAACACCCTGTCCTAAAGAGCTAAAACAGAGCGCTTGCAGCCTCAGCGGAGAAATTGGAGCTGTCGGTGTTGAAGCCTCACCAAATGTGACTTTCTTCTTACAGATTTTGTTCTCGAAGCATTCAACAAATCATGACGGGAAACACATATCGAAATATACCTTCGCAGCATGCAGTGGTGCGCGATAATATTTGTACACAGTTAAAATTCCTAGCCATCCCGGTTCGAGATCTCGCAATCGTCGCAATCAAATGCGCGCAGTGATGGGCCACGACGCAGCACAAGACAAACCTTTTTGTTTCGACCTTCGTGGCAACTTTGGTGCACGTGGTGCTCAGACGCACTCGCTGTGCTTGGTCGGACAATCGCCCAAGACTCAACATGCCTTACAACTAAACCAAGCGAAGCCACGAACAAGACTCGGGCTCTACTCAAATACCAGAGTATGCCTTTTCTCTATCCACCGGAACTCACACCCAGAACGGTGGACTGAACTCACAAGTCACACACGCGCAACACCCGAAGACACAGCTCCGACCCGCAGCATCGTCCCACGGCACCGATCCACAGATCGAATTCACAGCACCGACTCACGATCACCAAAACCAGTAAATGGAAGCTACTCTTTGGGCAGCCGTCCTCCCGCCATCTCAATCAGGTCAACGAGTGCATCAGTCAGCCGACACATGGCCAGGTGCTTGCACAGCGCTGCGGCTGTGGCTGTGTTGGTGTGTCAGACTTGCGTCGTTTCAATCTGACCTCGTATTTCTGGATTCAAATTTCTCACTGAATTTCACTGCACAGCGATGTTCATCCACCGACCTCCAGTTACACAGCCTGAAAAACCAAGAAACAGTGACAGCCATTCAACTTTAGTGTTGGCATTCGCTGAAGCGAGTTTCTCAGATGCCATCATCTGACTTCAATCATCGGATTACGAATAGGCAATTGACGGGGCCAGCTAAGTGGCCAATTACAAGTAATTCAAACATACACCATGTGGATCATTACCTGGAGATCTGAGTCGAACAGAGAGCTTCCTATCCTCATGAACCGTAAGACTCCGGTCTCTTGGAACCCGTGCCAAGCGTCCTCAGATGACTTGGCCCAAGTTCGGGCGTAGCCTGTGCAGTCCCCAGTGTGGACCAATGGGTCCATTGCACAAGGGAGAGCGGTTGCTAGAAAACAGACGCGGTTGCTGGTGCCGCCCCTGAGTCCGTAGCGCAGCACAGGCGTCACCCACTCCTCCCTCATCAGGATTTCAGTCACTAAGGGTTGATCACATCACTGTAGCAGTGGGGCAGGTGCCTTCCCTGAAGCTGACGTCTACCCCTTTGCCTTGTTCTGCAAAAAGGAATGATGATGACGATGGCTCCCCCGAAACTGCAACATTTGTTGATGTGCAACATTGCCTGATGATGACAACGCGATGTCATGTTCTCCAGAGCCCATGGCACTTGGTGGGATTGGAGTCATGACGACCCCACGACTTGCCCCGCGTACACGGGAGGCCTCCTGCGGCACCGGACTCCTTTCGCAACCGCCCCACAGCAGCGCAGCCGC